TAATATTTTTTTGATTTTTTAACTAAAATACTTGCATGCCAAGCTAGGCCTTATACTTGCTACAAGTTTTCTAATGTCATCTATATTGATACAAGTAGGACAAAAAAGCATTTATTTTTAATTCAATATTTTTTAACAAAATTTTATGATGTTTGTTAAGGGTTGTTATCATATTTGAAACAAGTTTTCTATTTGCAGTCTATATTCACAAAGGGATACTATTAAATAAGAAGAAAAAAAAATTATGATGCAGAGGAAAAGAATTGAAAGAAAAAAGAAAAAAAAGATGGAGAGGGAACTATCAAATTGAAAATGCAGTGCTACATTACCATTGCATTTGCATAGACTTTTGTGACTACATGATTATGTTAGCAAAACAAGGTTCAAATGTAAGAATTGTTTAGGTGTTTAAGGTGTATATCCTATGTATTTACATATTTTTTTTTATAAATATATATAAGTTGTTTTACAAAATTGAGTAAGTTCTCACAAATATATGTAAATTGTGATTTTTTAAATTTTTATGAATTAATTTACGTGTATTTATAAAAGTTTCCTCGATTTTATAAGATAACTTATTTATATTTATCTGAATTTACGTAAGTACGTATAATATGCACATACACACTTAAACATTAGCCTCAAATGAAATTGTGATTTTATAAAGCAATCTTGTTGGGTTGAAGTCAATCATTATGATCTTATTTGGTAAGTTTTTATTTAATAACATTTATGATTATAATATTTTACTTATATTTTTTGTAAAAATTTTAAAAATTAAAAATTAAAAATAAAAACTTGTTTGGCTGATTTCAACTTTTTAAAACTCTCCTAGACCTTTTCTTCTAGTTAATTATATCAAGTTATTAATAAATATTATTTTACGTTTTTATTTATAAATTAACACATTAGACCTTTTGATTATAAAATTACATTACTTTTACACAGTTAAAAAAAATTCAAATATACAAATAAATAAATAAAAGAAATAAAAAAAATTCAAATATACAAATAAATAAATAAAAGAAATAAAAAAAATTCAAATATACAAATAAATAAATAAAAGAAATAAAAAAAATTCAAATATACAAATAAATAAATAAAAGAAATAAAAAAAATTCAAATATACAAATAAATAAATAAAAGAAATAAAAAAAATTCAAATATACAAATAAATAAATAAAAGAAATAAAAAAAATTCAAATATACAAATAAATAAATAAAAGAAATAAAAAAAATTCAAATATACAAATAAATAAATAAAAGAAATAAAAAAAATTCAAATATACAAATAAATAAATAAAAGAAATAAAAAAAATTCAAATATACAAATAAATAAATAAAAGAAATAAAAAAAATTCAAATATACAAATAAATAAATAAAAGAAATAAAAAAAATTCAAATATACAAATAAATAAATAAAAGAAATAAAAAAAATTCAAATATACAAATAAATAAATAAAAGAAATAAAAAAAATTCAAATATACAAATAAATAAATAAAAGAAATAAAAAAAATTCAAATATACAAATAAATAAATAAAAGAAATAAAAAAAATTCAAATATACAAATAAATAAATAAAAGAAATAAAAAAAATTCAAATATACAAATAAATAAATAAAAGAAATAAAAAAAATTCAAATATACAAATAAATAAATAAAAGAAATAAAAAAAATTCAAATATACAAATAAATAAATAAAAGAAATAAAAAAAATTCAAATATACAAATAAATAAATAAAAGAAATAAAAAAAATTCAAATATACAAATAAATAAATAAAAGAAATAAAAAAAATTCAAATATACAAATAAATAAATAAAAGAAATAAAAAAAATTCAAATATACAAATAAATAAATAAAAGAAATAAAAAAAATTCAAATATACAAATAATAAATAAAAGAAATAAAAAAAATATTGAATAGTAGTAATAATTAAAGGGTATTGGGTGTAATTAATTGGTAGCACCACCGAATAAATAAATTTCGCTCCAAGAAATCTCGTGCTCTTTTATCTGTGGCGCCGACTCGCTTCTTGCTTCGGAGGATTTCCGGCCAAAAGGTTCTCTCTCTCTCTCTCTCTCTCTCTCTCTCTATTGTATATAGATACATAATATTGTTGTCATCGTCTATATTTGAGAAGTAACAGTTGTAAAATTCGACTTTGTTGTCCGATTATTGTGGTCTCTAGAGACAATTTTTGTTAGTAAATACGACCTTGTAGATATGGGTAATACTGTTTTTTTGTTGGCACAATTCCTATAGTTAGTAAATCTCAGAGCCCTACATTTCTCTCTCCAATAGTATGTTCGGTGATTGTATAGCCACTGAACTTGCTTTCATGTTTTGTGTTCACAATTCGTCCCTCGATAAACGGAGACTCTTTTGATTCATTTTTTTTTTTTTTCCATAATCAAATCACTATTTATACCCTTGTTGTCTCCTTAGCTTAATTAAATTAGAACCTGTTTGGTTGGAAGGAAATTTTCTAGGGAAAATATAATAATTACTTGGTTGCCTTTCAGCTCTCTTGTTTTTGTTTTTTCTGGGAAAGTTGATGGGTTTTGTTAATTCTGTGATTCAACGAGCCAGAAGACCGACGTTGATGCACGTCGAAGCAATAGAAAAAGAAGTGGACAGACTTCTGGAGGCCAGGGCCATCCGAGAAGTTCATCACCCGACATGGCTATCAAATACAGCGGAAAAAGGAATGATAATCAAGGAGCAAGAGATGTTAACATCGGCCAAACAACAAACATTTTTCAGAAGCAAAAAAGGTTGCAGATGCAAAGAAAACAAAAGTACAAAAATGAAGACCCTAAGAACTAGGGACTAAGGCAAGGACGTCGGACTAATCTACTTTAAACGGTTGACGGTGGTTCGGCCTCGGCAGTCAGTTGGAGGAGCTTCTCTATCGCTACCTCGGCATCAACTTCAAGAAGGAAGCAAACTACTCGGCATCAGCGGTAGGTTGTGTCTCACCCCCAGAAGACAGTTGGAAAGAACTTCTCAGCAGCCTTCTCAGCCACGAGCTCAGCATCAATCTTCTGAAGAGTTTGATCAAAGCTCTTCTCGGCGATTGGCACCTCGGAGTTTGAAGGCAAAGATTGAAAGCAAGAATCTAGAAAAAGACACAGAAAACAGAAACATGAATGTAATTTGTAATCAAGAATGATGATAAAGCTATCAAGAAATCAAGACAAAAAGATTACACAAGTATGTCAAGCCAAGAACAGTGGTAGAAATCAACAGATGTGTGAACAGTGTGTATTCAAGAAGATGATTTGGAAATAACGGGTAAAACAAGCAATGGTGATTAACAATGAAGCAGAGCTTCTTGGAAAACAACAAGAAATAAAATCAGGAGGAACAATGGCTTACCAGAAAGAGGGAAGTCGGAATGAAAATTGCCGAAGTCTGACGACAGTGACAGAATGACGTAAAGCTTCACCAGAGGAGAGGAACGAAGACAGTTGCAGAAGCTTGAAAGCTTGGAACAAATGAGGGATTTAAGCAAAAGAGCTAGAAAGAGAAGAAGCCAGAGGATTAAATGCAAAAAGAGAAAAATAGCCAAGAAGACGACAAAGTTTAAGAATAAAGTCAAGTACACATGCACTAATTAAGTATGTGAAGAACAAGAAACTAATGACCCAGACACGATGTTAGCAACAGAAAGCGGATATGACAAGCACAGTGCCAGGCATTCAAACAATTCAAAACTTGAAGACAGACGAGAATAGAAGGTCGAAGGCAACAGATGGCAAATAAACAGATTTAAAGTAAATCAAAAGAGTTATGAAAGATTGAGCTTATTAGCAAGTAAAGAGTTTTATGAACCTACAAAGTGAAATGAACGCCGATATGAAAATCGCCAGAGTCAAGTAGATGACTGGAAATCAAGAACTCACTAGAAAGTGTGAGTGGAGCAGTTGCAAAGCTCTTGGAGTTTACGAATTAATGGAACCAGAACCTCGGCTAGGAGGTGCGATTTCGAGCAGCTTGGAAAGCATGAAACTTCATTCTTGACACCAGTGGACAGTAAAGTCCAGGGAACATTGAGGTCGGCAAGTTTGATCTCGGACAGAGGGGCATAGATGAACGAACAGTGTAGGTTCCATCACCTCAGAATGCCGAGGTAATAGAACCTAGGGGGCAGTTGTGGGGATATATTTTCTGAGTACCAACACGTGGCAAGGTGACGCCGACGTGTTAACCGAGGTGCCACGTATCCTGGTCGTGACGCCGAGGTAATCTCGGCAAGGCCGAGGTTATCTCCGAAAATATCGGAATCCAAGATAAATGGATAAGGGACAAGAGTCCTAGAATGAGAAAAGACTTCAGTTTGGGAAAAGATAAGACTCTTAGAGAGTTTATCCTAATCTCACTGGGAGTCCTAGATTAGCAGTAATCCTAAGTCCATTAGGGCCAGGCTCCTTTTGGGACTAGGATTGTATTGGCTATAAAAGAGAGGCACCTCCATGAGTCTAAGGTATGCTTTTGATACTCAAGCTTGTGAGTTTAGTATTTGATTTATCTTTGAGAGATATACTGACTTGATCGTCGGAGTGCCTCCGGGTGGTCGAAACCACCGCGGGATTCTTATATTTCTGTTGCAGGTCAGTCAGGTGCCATCTATTCTGCCAGTGCTCTCCAGCTGATTACTAAGCGGGCAGTGTGGTCGGAAAATCACCCACACAGATTATAATATTTTACTTATATTTTTTGTAAAAATTTTGAAAATTAAAAATAAAAACTTGTTTGGCTGATTTCAACTTTTTAAAACTCTCCTAGACCTTTTCTTCTAGTTAATTATATCAAGTTATTAATAAATATTATTTTACGTTTTTATTTATAAATTAACACATTAGACCTTTTGATTTTAAAATTACATTACTTTTACACAGTTAAAAAAAATTCAAATATACAAATAAATAAATAAAAGAAATAAAAAAAATATTGAATAGTAGTAATAATTAAAGGGTATTGGGTGTAATTAATTGGTAGCACCACCAAATAAATAAATTTCGCTCCAAGAAATCTCGTGCCCTTTTATTTGTGGCGCCGACTCGCTTCTTGCTTCGGAGGATTTCCGGCCAAAAGGTTCTCTCTCTCTCTCTCTCTCTCTCTCTCTCTCTATTGTATATAGATACATAATATTGTTGTCATCGTCTATATTTGAGAAGTAACAGTTGTAAAATTCGACTTTGTTGTCCGATTATTGTGGTCTCTAGAGACAATTTTTGTTAGTAAATACGACCTTGTAGATATGGGTAATACTGTTTTTTTGTTGGCACAATTCCTATAGTTAGTAAATCTCAGAGCCCTACATTTCTCTCTCCAATAGTATGTTCGGTGATTGTATAGCCACTGAACTTGCTTTCATGTTTTGTGTTCACAATTCGTCCCTCGATAAACGGAGACTCTTTTGATTCATTTTTTTTTTTTCCATAATCAAATCACTATTTATTCCCTTGTTGTCTCCTTAGCTTAATTAAATTAGAACCTGTTTGGTTGGAAGGAAATTTTCTAGGGAAAATATAATAATTACTTGGTTGCCTTTCAGCTCTCTTGTTTTTGTTTTTTCTGGGAAAGTTGATGGGTTTTGTTAATTCTGTGATATTGATTGTCTTTTTGTGAGGAGAAATTTTTGGGTTTTGGGTCATAGACCCACCCATGGTTTTGATGGCTGAAACTGTTGTGTTGATACGATGAACAGGCGTTCTTATGCGGTATTTGAAGATGAATTATTGTGATTTTCAGCATAGCAACGCCTTTATGTCTCCTAATCAGGAGATTATAGGCTCTGTTTCTGTTCCTGATTGGAAGGGTTCAGTTGTTTGTCCAATACCTCGGCCAGTGGCGCTCTTGACTAACAATCCTATGAGGCCTTTAAGATGTCACGTGAGGTGATTAAATGTTTTATTTACTATTTTATGATCATTTATTTGAAATCACATTGATTATATGTTTAGATGAATTCAATTTTTTTTCTTCGAATAACAGCCATCAAGCTGAGGTATTTGATTCAAAAGCAGGGGCAGAACTTCTAGACATCATTCTCAAGAAGGTATTAGTTCATATTATATTTTAGGGCCTTGTTAATGTGTGTCCTAAGTGCATATATATTTGTATGATTTTGATTGTACAAGCATAGAATGTACAATCATTTTATCCTTCATAACATGTGCCTTTGACAAAATCCTATATTTTAAATTTTTATATACATATGCAGAACTACTTCATAACATGTGCATTTGATGGGACTTAAGGCTTGGTTTGGTTTATATGCAGAACTACTTGCCTACCTCTGTTTACATCCTTGTTCATGGCCATATGTGCATGTGTGCATAAAAAGTTTGTTTTTTGCATAATAAGAAAGGTGTGGCCGTATTAATAGGTGTTTTGAGAAAGGGATGGCGTGCTGTTTAACTGCTTAGAGGGGTGTTTGACATGTTTTATGTTCGAATATGAAGCAGAGCAGACGTGATTTCCATTTTAGACTTTCTGAATAGTTTTATGGATTACTTTTATTAGTTTTCTAGAACTCCAGCCAAATGCTATTATTATTATTATTGTTGTTATTATTATTATTTCTTCACATTTGCTGCTTGGTTGTATAGTGGAAACTGAATTGCTTGGAGTCATTTGATCTAGATTGAGGATATTTAGGATTGGTATTGTTAATGCTAAATAAAGTTTAGTAGTTATATTTTATCTATCTATCACTTTGATTGTAATAATTTCTTGTTCCTCCAACCCCTGAGGTATTTAGTACATTGAGCATTCATTCATAAATCTTAAACATTAGTTGTCTTGTCCCTAATAATTGCCTCTAGCTTTTCTTTCGTGATGGTATATACCACAGATAAGGAGTTTTCTATACTTGCGCATAGCTGTATAATATATAAATATGTACGCACCCTATACGCATGCACTTGTTCAATCATTTCTGGCATGCATTCCATCTCTCTTGCCACTGGAAAACACACCTTGCTGGATTTGTTGTCATATACGAAGTAAATTAGCCACATACTAGCAAAACATAAGAATTTCTCTAACATTCTCATGACTCAATTGTAAGCAGCATGAACATGACACGGACATGGGCACGCTGACATGAAATTTTTTCAAAAAAATGTAGGACACAACACGTGTAAAATATGTAGTTTTTTATTTATTTATTATATCATTATATGACATATATAAGGATAAACATTTATTATATATCATATATATGAATATTTATTTCGAAGATAATAATTTTTAAACTATAAAAGAGGAGAATATGTATAAAGTTACAGTGTTTTTATTTTATTATTGGATTCCAAAATATTTTATTTAAATTTGTATAAACACATTTCCTAAATGTTTAAAGCGTGTCTGAATCTATAAGTTTTTTAAAAATAGCAAGACATATTTCGATGTGTGTATGATAGATAGGTGTTGGGAAGTGTCCAACAAGTGTCATGTCGTGTCACTATTGGACATGACACGCCTCCTTTTTTAGAAGTGTTGGTGTTTCTCAGACTAAAATTTTATCTTAAAAGTGTCATAATTTGGCATGAAACACACAAATATGCTCTTATTTTTGTTTTCAGCCCCATTGTTAGATCTTGGGGCTTAATCGAAATTCCATTTCTACTTTTATTTACACTGATGGTTTTACAGGAGGGTTTTCGTACAGAACAATCCGCAACTCAGTTAGCATCTTCCCCCCCATTTTTTTCTGGGTCTCCTCCAAGCAGGACTGCCAACCCTTTAATCCAAGATGCCCGATTTGGGGATGAAAAACTTACTTCTTTATCAGCATCACGATCTCCTTCTGGTTTATCGTCTCCATCTTCAGCTTGCAAGGGAGGAGGATGCATAAGAATGAAGTTTGGGCTCAAACCGGCAGCAGTTAGAGTAGAAGGCTTCGATTGCCTTAATAGGGACCACCAACATTCAAGCATCCCTGCCGTGGCATAGTAACTTCATTAAAGAAACTGTACATATAAGGAAGCTAAATGCCACTATATTCAACAAACACAGCAAACTTGACGTGAAAAAGGAGTTATCATTCTTCTCTTAAAGGGAACTGAGGGAGGGGGTTTTATTAGCTAGTAATGTACATGACATGGTTCGGCCACCGACTCAGCGCTCTGTTTATATCTCTGTAATTAGTTTAATTGAAGTTCAGAAATGCACACACTCTTGTATCTAGAAAAGTCACATGTGTTGCTTGATGAGAGGTTATTTTGTAAACATAAGATGGATCATTAAGAAGGGGGTCGGTCTGTACATTTCTTTTTGCAATCACCAGGAAAAATAATTCTGTATAGAGAGGCTTTATGTAAATATACCTTGGTGATTTATCAATGTCCGGACCTGATGTGTTTTTGCCTATATTCAAGTGTTCTGATATTGTCATGTTCAGATTCTGCTATAGTCGGTGTCAATGGATCTGATGCAATATTGGGGAGTAGCTTCAATTTTTCCTCCAAAATTTTGTCTTAAATTTTCTGAATTGTTTTTAAATGGACAAATTTCAAATAAGTTTTGGCTTACCAAATTGTGTTTTCTTGCTAAAAGTGATTTGACAACAAGTCTCCCAATATCAAAATGGTTTTAGCTTTTCTTACTTTTGGTTGCTGGAAAATGGTGGGATGATATTGATATTGAAAAAATGGTAGGATGCCATAATGGAATAAATCGAGAAATTAAGGACACGCATCTATGGAAAAATGGATAGGATAACATCACGAAATCATTTGGGAAATAAAAAATACGTTTCTAATTCAAACACTGGGAAAATGAAAGGATCATATCATGAAATGAATTGAGAAATTAAGGATACGTTTCCAATACCAATACTGAGAAAATGTTAGGATGACATTACGAAATGAATCGAGAAATTACAAACACGTTTCCAAACCAATAGTGGGAAAATGACAGGATGACATCACGAAATGAATCGAGAAATTAAGAACACGTTTCTAATATCAATACTGGAAAAATGGTAGGATAACATTATAGAATGATCGAGAAATTAAGGACGCGTGAGAGGGAGATTTATGACTTGATAATGGGCCGAGCCAATTTGGGCCGGAGTTTGGGTCTTTACTCGGTCAAATATCAGGAGCATCTAGGACCGAAGACGTAGTTCGATCGAGTCCGTGCTCGGAAGAAACAAGCCTACATGATCGAACGAGTTTTGAGCACGGTCAGGTGTGTGACTGTGTTGGGGCGGGATATCAGCCCGGTCTTGTGAAGTTTGAGGTACTAGTGCGGCTCAGAAATGTGCGCCTTGCGAGTCGGACAGAGTTTGTCCTTGGAAGACTAGATGCGACCGAACAGGAGCTCGGTTGAGTCCACAATCAAGAATTACCGATGAGACCGGACAAGTAGCATGGTCATAAGGTGATGGCGTGGCGTCGCACTAAGCATAGCTCGGTGGGAAATACTACACGGCGTGACGGGACTGCAGGAAGAAGATTCCGCTGTTCGTACGCGTCAATATCGTTTGGCGGTTTCATCATTTGGTATTCAGCTGACACGTAGGGAAACGTAAAAGGAGAGCAGGTCCACGCGTCCAGAGGGGAATGGACGCAGAAGCGCGCGTAGAAACTATATAAATGATGCTGCGCCACCATACATAGGTCTGGGATATCTTCTGATCAGAGCTCACCTACCACTTTGTTCCCTTTCTCTCTTTTCTCCATCTCTTTCTTTTTGTGTGTGCTAACTTGATCGTCGGAGGGGTTTTCTGGCAACCATCCGCCGGGTAGCTCACCGTCGTTGTATTCTTAGGTTGAACAACATCATTCGGAGTAACGAAGAGCTTGGACAACGAAGAGTACGGAAGCAAGAGAATAGTTGCTCCCCGTACAATTGGCGCCGTCTGTGGGAATCCGACAGGCAAAACCTTATCCTCCAAGCTTGTCCGATCATCTTTCATGATGAACAACAACGACATTCCATTGTCCGCCATTGACGGCATCACCCCCCAAAAGATGTGCGAGACAAGCGCGCAAGGAGTACTAACCATTCACGAAGTCCAGACGGGCATTTGCAACGAAGAGAGTCTCACGCTCAGTGCCTAGGGCATAAGCTGAGAGACCAAGACATCATCATCCGGAGGATGGCGACAGAGATGAAGGCGCTGAATTGACAAGTCAAAGGGAAAGGTGTTGCTAGAGTGGGTAACCATAGTGAGCGCATCCAACCCCGCCGTTCAGGTAGCCAGAACCAACAGAAGACAATTTCTCTCTCCATTACCAGAAGTTATGGGGTTGGTGACCCTGACCCACCGAAAGAGAAGTCATGCGCACGTGACAACAGCTATCGTCCCTCGTGTCCATTGACGATGTCGAGATAATCTTACTCCACCCGTTCGGAGGACCTAAGGGACGTCCTGGAGGAACGAGCGCTCCGGTGGGAGACGCAAAAGGTGCTAGCGTTGCAAAGGTTATCCCACAGAGGTTGTGCTAGCGAAGAGGTCATAATACTGCTACCACACCCAGTTGTACATATGCCTGTGGATAGGGAGTTGGTGAGGCTGAACGCCAACCCTTTCTCCCTCGAGATAGAAATCACATTGTTCATTGCAGGCTTCCACCAGCTTAAGTTCACGCTCTACGATGGAAAAATTGATACATACATGCACGTAAGCCACTTCTGGCAGGTCATGGCTGGCTACAGGCGAAATGACGCCCTTATGTACCTTATTTTTTCGTCAAGTTTGGGTGAGTTGGGCCTGAAGTGGTTCGAGAGGCTACTAGAGGAAAGTATCGATAGGTGGCAGTAGCTGGCGGAGGCGTTCGTGACCTGATTCAAAACCAACACTAGAGTACCCAAAGAAGTCGACCACCTTCTGAGTGTCAAAATGGAGTCAGGTGACTCGCCTAAGGCGTACAATGCCAAGTACTGGGAAACCTTCAACGAGATTCTTGATTGCCCGGCCAACCTTGCAATCACCTAGCACAAGCGCGATCTCCCAGTCGGACATAGACTGCGGGATTCGCTTATAATGAGCCAATCGACGACCATGGAGTTATTAATACAACGAATCAACGAGCACATTCGAGTAGAGGATGATGCTGCCGTGGTTACCGTGAAGGCGAATTTGGTGGCAACGAAAAAAACGAGCGGCCAAAAAAGTTCACGCGAGGCAAATCGTTTAAGCAATCGCGAAAAAGAATCAGCACGCGGTGCAAACTACAACAACCGGGGTAAGGGTTATCACAATGACCGAGTTGACTACCCCCGTGACGCCACGGATGATGAGAAGAGAAAGTTGAACGCCCGAATAGGCATCACTATAGTTTTCAAGATCCCAATCTACCGTATCCTTAGCGAAATTTGCGACGAGGCATACGTCCGATTTCTGGCTAAGTTGAGCAACGCACAAAGGGGCTTTAATCCGCGGTATTGTTGCACCTTTTATGATGAGCGAGGGCACTGTACTGAGGACTCTTTGCCTCTAAAACAACATTTGGAGGAGTTGGTGACTGTTGGCCACTTAGATCGTTACATTGACAGAGGACCCAAACCCGCCCCTATGGGTTTAGCACCGTAACCGGCCAATAATCCATGATTACCGAAGGCCTGCTTAACATAATGCCAGCAATACAGAGTAAAAGGGCTGGGGGAAGCCAAAACAGTAAATAAAAGATATCCAAAGAGTTGTGACAATCTGGATGCAAAAAGACTTTTTATAAACATGTCACATTGATAACCAGAACATATGTACATGCGACATATATACAAAAATCCATGTCAGGGACCAAATCCCTAACTATAACTGTACAGTCAAGTCTTAAACATTCATTACAAGACAGAAACAAAAGGGTGAATCTGGACACCTGTCACGACCCAAACCTGCCCCTATGCGTTTAGCACCGTAACCGATCAGTAATCCGTGATTACCGAAGGCCTGCTTAACAGTAAAGACAGTAATATAGAGTACAGGGGCTGGCGGAAGCCAAAACAGTAATAAAAGATGTCCAATGAGCTGTGACAGTCTGTATACAAAAAGACATTCACAACATATTCACATTCAAACCATAACAGTATATACATACATCATATACAAGCATTCAGGTTAGGGACCAAATACCTACCATAATAGTACAGTACAAGTCTCATACAGTCTATACAAAACAGAAACCAAAAGGGGGAATCTAAAACACCCCAAAAAGCCCTAGCTTGAAGGACTTGGAACCTGTCAGTGAGGCACAGTGATTGGCTTGACAAAAGGGAGTTAAATCCAACGCTCCTAGCTCCGATCCGGTGCCTGGACACCTACATATATATATAAACAGTAAGAAAAAGCCTAGTGAATAACATATGCATAAAGAGGTTAGGAATGAATGTCCTTTCAGTATTTAAAACAGTCATTTGAACAGTACATCAATTATTCGATCATAGCAGTCATAAGTGGTACATCCAATAGCAAACAGTACAGTAGGTCTTAACAGACCGAACAATCAGTTGATGGCCGTCATATCAGTAAACAGTAGTGGTTCCAAACATGGGAACCGACAGACATCTCTGTGACAGGAGCAGTACAGTACAGTATGAATAACATATGCATAAAGAGGTTAGGAATGAATGTCCTTTCAGTATTTAAAACAGTCATTTGAACAGTACATCAATTATTCGATCATAGCAGTCATAAGTGGTACATCCAATAGCAAACAGTACAGTAGGTCTTAACAGACCGAACAGTCAGTTGATGGCCGTCATATCAGTAAACAGTAGTGGTTCCAAACATGGGAACTGACAGACATCTCTGTGACAGGAGCAGTACAGTACAGTAACAGTAAATTGCTATGGATGCCACGAATACAGTTTGCAAATATGACAAGCATTCATTCAGTAAGAAATATCATTTCAGAAAGCAGTACAGTTGATCATTCAGAAAATATTCATGATTGAATATATCTTTACAATATTGTTACTCACAGCGTTCTGGGCTACAGATAGGCTAGTGAGCGTCCTCGGATGCCAACCTTACACAGTTGCAGAACGAACACACACTAAGTTACACACTTGGGAATCAATGACTTAGTCCCTATCTTGACTCGGTGTAGTTCTATAGCATTATCCTCATTAAGATGCCTTAAACAAGGTTTAGGAATGCCTAGGATGAAATGAGGATGCAAAGATGTACTTTAAAACACTTTTCGAAATTTTCAGAAAATAGGGGTCTCGTTTGAGCGTGGCTTTCTACGCTCGAACGGACATGCAGACAAAGGAGCTCCGCTCGAGCGTGACTTTCCTCGCTCGAGCGGACTGCAAAAGTACTGTATGCATGAAATTCACGCTCGACGGGCGCTCGACCCCCGTTCGAGCATGAGACACAAGTCCTCGCTCGAGCGTGCATTCCCTTGCTCGAGTAGACTGTAAACACATGCAAAGTACTGGATACACGC